TGAGCTGTCCCCAGTTCCTCACTACAAGGCTCAGCATCAGGAACAATTCTTGCCCAGCCTTGAGGATAGGTCCAAACCTATCACAGTTTTATTAACCCATAGAGCCACCATATTCAAGCTTGACTGTGGCTCAGCTGCTTATGAGGGGTATCGATCACCCCATATCTGTCAGTAAATCGGATGCATTTGCTTTCCTTATTATTTTAAAGATTGCATTGCATTGCTGTTATATATCTTTATTTTCATCCTGAGCAAAGAGTAATTTATTTTAATAAAAAAATACACATGACAGCATTTTTTTTTCTCTATTCCTGGTAGACAGCATAGCTCAAATGTGAGGTCTCGCAGGAAAAATTTGGAATATGATTTGATGCTTAGCTGCCTGCGCCTTATTCTTCTACAGCAGCTTTGGAATGACACCATGGCCCTCCTATTCTAACCACCAGCACACAAAAGCTCGCTTTCGGCTCTGGAGTCAACCTTTGATCACCTGTCAGGTGTGAGAGTGTGTGTGCAATGAAAAGTGCCATTTCTGTGCCCGATAGATTAAAAAACACCTCCCATTTAGGACTATCTGCATCTCTTTGCTGCCTCTGAAGGCCTGCACAGTGCCCACTGATGGCGCTTCCCAATTTGCCCTTTCTTCTCCGAGGCTCTCGTGTGGGGGTGAATGTGAACCTCTCCGCCTTCTTTCCAGAATGGTAACTCAGCCTTACAGAGCAGATTTGCCCCCAGGTCTGGCAGGCAGCTTGAAGTTCCCCACTGTCCTTGGCTTCCTGGGTGGAGGAGCCATCTGACAGCCCGCCCCCGTGAGCAGGCTGGCAGCAGAACTGGAAGAGAACCTTCCCCACCCTGTCCGTGACCGCACTTGTGGCCAGGCAGCACGGGATGCTGTTCTTTGTGGCTCTGCTGTTCCGATACATGCAGAATTCCAAGGCTCCACTTTCTTCCAGTTGGCAAAGCCAGCTCTCTCCTTCTAAGAAAAAAGACGTACTGCGACGTCAAATTGTGCTTCCTGGCCCTTCCCTTTGCAAATGGGGTGTGAGTGAATCAGAGACATATGGGTTACATTTCCCTGGAAAGACACTCTCAAGTTCGAAAGAGAACTTGGCAAAAGGCAGTGGGGGAGGGGGGGCAGCTTTGGCTCATCCAGAGCCCTCAGAGCACTTCTCAGAGCTATTCAGCAGCACCACACGCCCTCCGTCTGCCTTATGGGTCCTCCGATCTGCCCACCCCAGCACCCAGGCACTGTACACAGCAGATGTGACTCCAGGGCTCAGGTCATTCACGTTGCCATGAGGGGTATTTTAACGAGTACCTAATTTTTAAATGATGCCCTCTGAACAACATGGGCTGTAAATGACTTTAAAACCCTCTATGTCTGCATAAAGGAGCATCCCACCAGTAACACTTAACCTGTTAACTTAGAGTTTTGCCAGAGGCTGTACTTAAAAAAGAAAGCTAAACATATATGACTTGGTATAATGGCCGTCCTGCATGGTCCCCTCCGAGCCTCAAAGTGTTCCCTTCCCTGGGAAATACATTACCTACTCTCTGTTTTATTATGCAGGTGGAATTATGGTAATGACTTTGCCCTCTTCTGCTTGTCCTTTTACTTGTTACAATTGCTTAAATTAAACCATTGTTTAATAGGGCCTGCTGCAAGCTTTTCCCCAGCAGCTGGGATCTTAAGGAATGATTGCTCAAGGCCTCTGACATCCTCGCCTGTGGCTGAGGTGGGGCGGGGATCAAAACTCATCCACATCACTCCCAAAGGGGACTCAGAATCCTGCCAGACATGGGACAGAAGGGCTAGTTTGTAAGTTTGGAGGGATGCTAGTGAGGTTTATTCTAAACAAGTGTTACTAGATTTCCTGGAATGCAGGACTGTTCCTGGGGAGGTCCTGAGGAAAATCCAAGGGACTATTGGTTCTTTTCCAAATACCAACAACGAGACACATCATTCCAACACTGGCCAGTCCTTCAGTTCTCCAGCTGGGTGTCCAACAATTCAATTCAGTTCTGACACTAAACACCACCAGAAATTAGTGCAGATCCCACAGGTTAGGGACTCAATCCCACAAGCCTGCCGTCACTTCACATAGCAGCCCCAAGTGGAGTCCCCAGGTGACCTGCATTTTTGCCTTCCAGACTGCAAATTTATAGGGCTCCAGGTTTGATAATTCCTTGAATGACTTCCAGAACTCAGGAAAATTATTCTTACCGTCACCAGTTGATTACAAAGGATTCAACTCAGGAACAACCAAATGGAAGAGATACGTGGGGGTGGAAGGGGGGCAAAGAGCCTCCATGCCCCCTTCAGGCATATCACCCTCCCAGCATCTTAATGTGTTCACTAACTCTGAAGCTTCCTGAGCCCCGTTATGTAGGGGTTTTGTTTTTTTTTTTTGAAGGTCCCATTACATAGACCTGCTTGAGTAAATCATTGGCCATTGGTGATTAAACATTCTCAAGCCCCTCACCCACTCCAGGAGTTAGGAGAGGGAATGGGGCTAAAAGTTATAGCCAAACATGTGGTTGGTTTTTCTGGTGACCCATCCAGATCCTCAGGTAGTGTAGGCCTCCCCCTCAATGAGTTATCTTGTTAGCATACAGAAAACAGTAAATTCCAAGGGTTTGGGAACTCTGTGCCAGGAAGGTGGACAAAAAACGAATATTTGTTTGTTCTGTCAGAGGGACAAATTCTTGATGGGCCTAAGCCTCTTTCCCTCAAGCAAGGCAGACTGTGGTATGGGGGTAAGAGGAAGCAAGCCCACAAGTCCTGCTCCTCTGGTCCATTAGCATCTTCTTCTCCTCCTCCAAGAAGTAGACAGGCTGGAGCTGAAAACACGGTCTTACCTCCTGAACAAGGCGGTAGATGTTGTGCCTTGGTATGCCTTGTATGTGCTGCAGACAGGAAACACCAAGGAAGCTTCTATTGCTAGGAAAAGTTTATAGAACCTGGGTAAAAGAAAAAAAACAGAAATGGAAATTTTTCACTCCTACCGATTTAGGAGATTTCAGTTAAAAAAGATCAGGTCTTGCTTGCAACAAGCGTTATCAGACGCAGAGCTGAATTTTACCCATCAACCTCCACGTGGCCCCTCGGTACAGAACTTCCTTTCTATTTTGATTTGCGCTCAGGAGCTCCCTCTGTGGCCCTTGCTTTCCTTCTGATGCTGGTGCCTGAGTGGAGCTGTGAACTCTTTGCTCACTCTTTCTCTTTCTCTCTCTCTCTCTCTTTTTCTCTCTGTTGCCCTGGAGCCACAGCAGTCCCTGGGGGATTTTTCATTTTGCAAAATAATTTTGACATTTACAGATAATTTACTCAACCATTTGTTTCCTTATAGAGGAAGTCATGCTCGCTGAAGAAAATAAAAATGCTGGGACGTCAGCCTTAGAAGGTAAGGACGTGCTCCCGCACTTGCCTGCTTTTGCGCCCTCTTAGGCTGTGGCCATCTCTTGATCAAAAGAAGAAGAAAAAAAAAAAAAGAGGAGTGCCCTGGGATTTGAAATGAAGGTCTCCCTGTCATAGAATCTCTCATGCTTTAAAATGAAGGGAATTGACTCATGGATTTAAATGCTTTTTAAAGTGATGGAAATGAAATCCAAGAGCTGCTTTGTTCTAGGGTGTATGATTGATAACCGTACAATGAAAAGACCATCACACAACCAGCGGCACGTAAAGGGATCTTCGGTGAAAATTTGTGGGGATCATCTTGGGACCATTTCATTAGCAGGAGGTGGCATTGTTTATGAAGAGAGCAAACAGATAGGGCGCGCCTGTTTACCTACTGCATGTAGATAAGGTCTAGCAAGGGTTCTGGAGCCTGTGTGTTTCAAGGTGCTGCTGAGCATGGGAGTCCTGTTTCTGTAGACACTGGCGACTTCTAGAACCATGGCTCAGGTGCTTCAAGGCGGCTGCCTGTGTCACAGAGGCTTCTGGCACACAGTCCTGAGCTTTGACTAGAATGATCTGGTTGTTCTTGTGTTCTTTCACCGGCCTCCCCCCTTCCCTGGTGTAGTGCTTCGAAGGGCAACCATCAAACGGAGCCGGACGGAGGCCATGACTCGAGACTCCAGCGATGAGCACTGTGTTGACATCTCCTCTGTGGGTGAGTGGAACCAGTTAGATCTTTGACTTGTCTGAGGTCCTGTAAGAAGACAGATCCTATCTTTTGAGAAGCACCACGAAGAGAAATAGAATCAAAAGAATCCAGGATTTAGGGACGTAATTAGGGAAGGACTTGGAAATCTAATCTAGAGAAAAATGGACCATGGGGTGTAGGGCTAAGAATCCCACCCAGATTCTTCAAGTGTGGCAGATGTATTCCATTTGCATATAAATACTATCTGTCCTGGAGGTGATAATGAGAACCCACTTTGGGATATTGTTCCGAGGATCCCAAGGACCTGTTGCTTCTAGTGACCCCCATTTGAGGGCCTGTAATCATTTGTTTAACCATAGTGACACCCACCTACTTCCATGTGATATTTCAACAAATTCCTACTGACAACTCTTAAATGATTGCTCTTCAGTCCCAGGTTCTCTTAGATATGCAGGCTGTTGGCAGATTTAACCTCCCCAGAAAAAGGGATGGCAGATTTTTACCTCCTCCCTCACTTCATCCTTAAAAGCAGAAGAGGTATACAGAACTCAGTGCTGCTCTAGGCTGCCAGTGGTAGAAATCATCACAAATGTAGCAAGACGATTCCAGTGCCTGAAACGTATTTAAAAGGAAAGGCCAGAGAGAAGCCCAATCTGTTAAAAACATAAACGCCACCCTATTAGGCTTCAGGACACTGAGTATATGTCTGGTGTCGTGCCCAGGGAATCTTTCAGTTTCCTAGAACTGAGAGTGTCCAGTGAGGAAAAGCAGGGATCTCTGCTATGGAAACTACTTAATTCATACCATGGGGATTTCCCTGGGCCTGCGACGTGGGGGTCACCTAACCCCCCAGGACTGAAGCTGTCCACCTCCCCCTTTGACTGCCCCCCTTGCCATGGAGGGTGATCTGTCGTGCAACCTCATTCTTCCTCCTTACTTCTCTCCCCTTAGGCACACCTCTTGCCCGACCCAGCATCAAAAGTGCAAAGGTGGACGGGGCCTCCTATTTCCGGCACAAAGAAAGGCTTCTGCGCATCTCTATCCGCCACATGGTTAAATCCCAGGTGTTTTACTGGATCGTGTTGAGCCTTGTGGCTCTCAACACCGCCTGCGTGGCCATCGTCCATCACAACCAGCCCCAGTGGCTCACCCATCTCCTCTGTAAGTGGCCAGCGATTGCCGGCCAGCACAGTGTGGCTAGATTCAGGTGTGAACATAAGAGGACAGGCGTCCTGCTGGGCCTGGCAGTGCTCTGAGGGGGAGGCCAGAGTTGGCCTCTAGGGGTTGGGATATCACACCACGGGTCCTCTTGTCATTCATCATTGAATCAGATGAATCTTTGCTGATAAGACAACAAAATGGTGTTAGCCTTGGGTACTTTAAGGCCTTCACTTAGTGTCTTAAGGAGGCTCAATGGTGTAGAGAGTTTTGGTCACCTAAGTCCTGGGGAGAAAGTTCTAAGGGCAGTGGTTACTTCCAATAGACCAAGACAGGAATTTATAGGTCAGCTCTGAGTAGGGCCGCCACTGCGGGTAAATGGGGATCCAGGATGCCATCACACAGCTGGGTGTGTGTAGGGCGAATCTGGCTCTTTCATCAGTGCCATGATAAAGCCCTTTCTTTCTCTCCTGAGAGCCATATACCATTTAAAGGCCAGTGACAAACCCATCCATTGAAAGAGAGCAAAGCAGATATGTGGAGTGTGCCTGGGCCCCCCAGGTCAGAGTGTATTCAGATATCATTAGGTTTTGCCTGCCATTGACCTGAACGTGGTCACTGAATGTCTGCCTTGGGGGTCCTGCCGGTGTTGAGGGCTTCTCCGTAAGGTGAGGGGGTTGGGCTGGGGGGTGTGGGAGCCCATGGCATCTATGGAATAAACACTTCTGCTCTTGACGCTTTCAGACTATGCAGAATTTTTGTTTCTGGGACTGTTCCTCTTGGAGATGTCCCTGAAGATGTATGGCATGGGGCCTCGACTCTATTTTCACTCTTCGTTCAACTGTTTTGATTTTGGGGTAAGTGCTCTGGAGCCCGCCTGTCCTCCTGCTTCATGTTGATATGGCTCAGTTTGAGTTAAGCAGCTCGCTCCACTGCTCAGCATGAAGCACTGAAATCAGAATTTATAAAAGGGGACTAAGTAAGTGAGCTAAAGGGAGGTCAGGAATGAGGAAATCCTTCCCATACCAGGATTTGTCTGTTTGCTTGTTTAAAGTTCTTTTATTTTTTAATGTTTTTATTGAAGTATAACATGCATACCGTTGTGTGCACTTAAGTGTACAGCAGAATGAATTTGACGGAGCTGCCCATAGCAAGTTTTTAACCACTTACTATCTTAGGGGGGAAGCCTGAGAGAGAACAAAGGAACTGATTCCAGAAGGTGACTCAGTAAAAATGAGAAGCTTATATACTTTTTTTTTTTAGTTCAGTTTAAAATTGGGAAAATTATCTAGATATACCCTCATGCAAAGATGCATGCGTGCGCACACACACACTCCTGTCTTAGCAATTTCCCACATCGTCTATTTCATCCAGCATTCACTTCCTAAATTGTGTTGATATGTAAATGTGTGCATATCTAACAGTGTTCAAGGTGCTCTGACATACATTTTTGCCCTCCACTGCTTTCGGGACTCCTAGCCACTCTATTACATATCAGGAGTTACCTTTCCCATTTGCAGATGAGTAAATAGAGAACATCGTGTGCAAGTTCACATCGCCAGTTAGCAACAGAACAAGGTTGTAAAACTTTGGGTTCCTGAACCACTTCTCTTTCTGCCAAACCCATTCTGTTCCTGCCAAATCTTCAGTTAGGTGCTAAGGATTTTGAGCACTTGCCAATCTGCGTTTCACTTGGACCATATGCTTCTGGGTATATGGGCAATTTTCAGGCACAACAACTAGTGAAAGACCATTCCCTATATACGTACTTTTCAGCGCTGCAGCGAGGAATTAATTTTTGTCACTCCTCCTAGTGCGTTGTGTAGAACATAGTAGATATTCAGTGCACATATAATTAAAACAAAAACCAAATTGTTAATTTGACATTGCTATTTCCTACAGCAATCAGTATCTATATGCCACCAAGTAGTACTGTCCCATTGGGGTGTGTGGGACCTGAGTGACTGAAAAATATTTCACAGACGGGTGACTGAACCATTCTTGGTAGCACTAAATTCTAGGACAGTGGGAGAATGTGGATCTCCTCTGAGGTTTTTACATTGGAATGCAACCTGTATTAAATTTGTTTCCTTGCTTTGAGTACCGCTCTTTCATGTGTTTGTTCAAGGTGTTATTATGTAAGAACAGTTGTGGCTCTCAGATTGTGCAGAAGCAGTGACTGGTCTCGTAGTTTCCACCAAGGACAGAGCAGCAGTGAACCAGTCTCCAGCATGAAGGAGTGACATCAGGAACGGGAGTGGAGAGCAGTGGGGAGGGAGGCAGTAGTCTCATTTTCCCTTGGCAGCCTTCACAAATAGGTAGTCTTGCTGGAGCTGCTCTGGGTGGGGAGGGGAGAGTTTTAATTTCACCATAGCCCAGTGACAGGTGTTGACTGCTGAATGCCAGAAGGCTCCTCTCTTCTCCTCCTCCTCCTCACTGTGGCTGGGTTTGGCTCTTTAGGTCACAGTGGGCAGTATCTTTGAAGTGGTCTGGGCAATCTTCAGACCTGGTACATCTTTTGGAATCAGTGTCTTGCGAGCTCTCCGGCTTCTAAGAATATTTAAAATAACCAAGTAAGTGATCAGAATCTGGACTCTTCCCAACCACCTGTGAGAGTGGAAGCTTCTCTCTGCCTTATTATATTTCCTTCCATCCCCTGTTCTCCTTTGCCACAGTCCCCTTTCCCTACCACGTCCCCTACTCCATTCTTCAGCTCCTCCTTCTCCAAAAACCAAACCAGAAAAATACCTATGATGCCAGATCCCATGCCACATTCCCCAGGGGAGCCTCATTGTTGCTGACATCTCTCCTTCATACAAGTACACAAATACAGCCTGTTTCATAGACTACCAGGCAGATGCCCGGCTGGATTTGGGGATAATTTTACATTCAGTGTTCACTGCTGTAATGTTTCGATTTTGTAGGTATTGGGCATCTCTGCGAAATTTGGTGGTGTCCTTGATGAGTTCTATGAAGTCTATCATCAGTTTGCTCTTCCTCCTCTTCCTCTTCATCGTTGTCTTTGCTCTCCTAGGAATGCAGCTCTTTGGAGGCAGGTAAGCACCAATGAACTTTCCATCCAAAGAGCCTCAAAACCCAGTCTTCAGCTTGTGAGCGCCAGGGTTTCTAATTTGGTCACTGTGCTATCATCCTGTTTGCTTTGGCCCACATCAACCACTGTGTATGTATGTAAAACTTATGTCTCTGCTTTTAATCTTTTCACACTGTATAGGGTTCTGGGTCTGGAGACCTCTCTTTGAAGCTGTCCCCAAAATGTACAGCATGGGGCCTTATAACTCAAGATCAGCCCAAACCCCATCTTGTTACCCACACCCTTCAAAGTGCACAGTCCATCAGTAGTAGTCACTAATAATACCATCTTCATAAGTTACATGGAATGGGGAGAAATTAGGGAAGAGGAGGATATGGAGAAAGGGTAAAAGAAGTGATGAAGAAGGGAGGGAAAACTTGGTATGTGGGATTTTCATTTTATTCTTCTCTCTGAACTTCCTTTTCAGGTTTAACTTTAATGATGGGACTCCTTCGGCAAACTTTGACACATTCCCTGCAGCCATCATGACTGTATTCCAGGTATGAGGCCAACTGGCAGTTAAAAATGTTATGTAGGTTCTTTTGGATCCTACAAATCAGCAAAATGATATGTTAGGAGAATCCTACTTTTCTGCCCCAGGCTCGTCCCAGGCAAGTGGGACTCTGGTTGAGTAATTATAATCAAAATAATTCCTAGAATTTCTGTAGCTGCATTCTTACCGATAATGGAAGAGCTCTATCATAATTACAATATTGGCCTTTTTCCTATACTTGTGAGTTTGCAAGAGATATTAAGGCAAAGACATTCAGTAACTTACGATATTTATGACTACCATCAAGTGGGCTTTATTCCAGGAATGCAAGGATGGTTCAGTATCCACAAATCAATCAATGTGATCTACCACATTACCAAAATAAAGGATAAAAATCATATGATTATTTCAATAGATGCAGAAAAAGCATTTAACAAAATTTAACACTCATTCCTGATAAAACTCTCAATGAAGTGGGTATGGAAGGAACCTACCTCAAAATAATAAAGGCCATGTATGACCAACCCACAGCTAAATCATACTCAGTGGTGAAAAGCTGAAGGCTTTTTCTCTAAGACTAGGAACAAGACAAGGATGTCTACTTGCACCACTTTTATTCTGCATAGTGCTGGAAGTCCTAGCCACAGCAGTCAGACAAGAAAAAGAAATAAATATCATCCAGATTGGTAAGGAATAAGTAAAACTGTCATATCACATTTATGGTTTTCTGAAATTGAAAGCATGTTCTGACCCATATGTCCATTTAATGAATTTTTCCCCCCACCCCGCCTCCCCCCACCCCACAAAAAATATGTTTTTAAATCATGGAGGGAAACTCAAAAATCAATAATGCTGAGAGCTAAAGAAAACACTATTTAGCTAGAATCTGAGGCTAAACCAGAACCCAGGTTTCTGAAACTGGAACCCATGAGGTTCTTTCTAATAGTGCTGCTGTCCCACAAATTGTATCTTAGCTCCCCTGGGATGGACTGGTAGTGACCAGACCACCTGATCTGTGTGATTTCCATAGGCCTGGCAAAGCTGGAAGTGGAGGGAGTCGGTAGTCAGACTCAGAAAAGAATCTTTCCTTTTGATACTCTCTTTCCATTTTCAATGCCTAACATTATCTTCCTTATCAGAAGAAAGTTTAGAATTATTCATGGAAGTGACTTTATTTTTCTCCCTGGCAGAATAACCAAGCAAGGGGGTAGATGGAAAAGACCGAGGCCAGAATTTTCCTTTTTACATTGGCCCCATTTTCTCAACCAACCCAAGTCTCTGACTTGCTTGTTGTTTGCTTTGCATAGATCCTAACAGGGGAGGACTGGAACGAGGTGATGTACAATGGGATCCGTTCCCAGGGTGGGGTCAGCTCAGGCATGTGGTCAGCTATCTATTTCATTGTGCTCACCTTGTTTGGAAACTGTATCCTTTTTAAGATACTCCTCTTCATGCTGCCTGCCTGCCTGGACCAGCATTTAAGGAGGGTGGTGGTGGTGATGGTGGTGGTAGAGGTGGGTGAGTTTTTTTGGCCAGGGGGGTGGGGGTCAGGGTAGTAGTGGGGTGGATATTGCTTGGTATGCTAAGAGAAACAAGGATTCTGATCTTAAGGAACTTGTGTACTGGTTGGGTAAAGAAGACAATTATAAACAAGGAGATAAAGTATTATCCAAATCTCCAGCATACAAAATAATAACATGTCAGGCTCTTATTTTGCATAGTTGGAAATACTATCAGCTGGGGAAAATAAGAGATGGCAAAGATAACTGCAGGCTGAAATAGTGGTCACATTGTAATATTAATAAATTAATTACATGTTAATATAGAACAGGACCTGCACATAATAAGATCTCAGAAATATCTGTATTATGATTAATGTTGATACTATTTAGCATAGCTAACATTTATTATATTTGTGCTATTCGTGAGACCCTGTACTAAATGTTATACAGGCACTATTTCATCTGATCCTTACCTTCTAAGACTTAGAAGAAATAACTTTCAAAGTCAAACAATTATTAAATTTTAAGGGGAGACTGGAAGTCAAGTACATTTAATTCCCAAACCCTTACCTGGTCATAAGATCTAGACTAGGAAGATTTAGGTTTTAATACCAGCAATTCTGCTTACCAGTTGTGTAGCCTTGGAAAAGTCCCTTAATCTGAGTTTTAGTTTTCACATCTGTAAGGAGGATAACAACATTGATCCCTTTGTTAGTTGTGAATAGTGAATGAGGTCATTTATTTGGATGCACCTTATGAACTGCAGACTTCTACACAGTCACTAGATGTTTGGGGGGGATGGGACTTGCCTTGAAATGGCATTGATGGAGTTAGAAGGGAGCGCCATGTGATGTAGCTGCACTTTTGCTTTTCCCATAGTCTCACAGAGACAAGATACTCCTTTAACTTTTTTGCCCTGAAAATTTCTAGGGGCCAGAGCAGACTATGAACCAAACATGAGACACCCATAAGAAGAAAGTTATGCAGTGCGTCACAGAAATGGAAGACCAGTTTGTCACAATGGCACCTTGATTTTCCTGTTCCTCTGAGGGTAGTCAGACCTGGACTTTGATGCTAAAACCAGCTCTTTATTCCACAGCACCTGGATCTCAAAGAGAGTTGGAAAATTGGGACTTCAGAGATTAGAGCTTAGAATGGAAATGGGTTCCATAATGATCTTGTGTGCTCTGTGACATTTTTGTTAAATGAAATATGGAAGCCTTTTAGGATAAGAAGAACGAGAGAAGTTAGCATTCCATTATTGAGAGCTGCTCAGTGATGGGTCTATGGGATCTCATTTCTTTTCACCTTTAAGAACAGAGTAGGATCTTGATCTGGGTGGGCTTCAATTCTAGCCTCCCAGAAAGGAGAGGTAAGCTCCTGCATTGAGCTCCCTACTGTCATGTTGTTCCATGATTCTCTATTCAATATTGCTATGAGTGGGGGCCATATGTGTCTAAAGGCCCCCTTACTCCAACTTGGCCCCTGAGTGATTGGATTCAGCTATCTCTGTGTCCTAGGCAAAGAGAAGCCATGTGGAAGGAAGAAGAGATATTCTTCAGACAGGGCTGCGTAACCTCTGCTTAATTGTTGCTGTGGGGTAGCTTCTGTTCCTGCTGGATCCCAGGCAGCAAAGACCTCGAGAAACCTTCTCAGTCTTGCTAAAGCCTTTTGGTTTTCTTACTTGCCCGTCCTTAACTCATTACCTCAGACACACTGCTGAATGTGTTCTTGGCCATTGCTGTGGACAATCTGGCCAATGCCCAAGAGCTGACCAAGGTAAGCATTCTCTGCAGATCTGATGATTCTCTTGTGCCATTGGGCACTTCATCTAGAGCATGGGAATGATCTATCTGCTTTGCATACCTCACAGGATTGTTGTTAGGATCAAGTAAAATAATGTATGTGAAGATCAGAGCAGGCTAAGAAGATGTGTGTTCTTAGTAGCTCTAGTCATTTCACCTGAACTGGCTTTTCCCAGTGTCATCACAAAGAAGGGACACTTACACCAGGAATGTAGGTGAGGGGATGAGGTCCCTGCCTGATCACCTGGAGTGAGGCCACTTAGCTGGGCAGGGGAAAGGGTGTAAGTAGACGCACAGTCTTAGCATTTTACTTTAGGGCAGGTCTGCCTGGAAGGACCCTGCTCCATCACTTGCAGGCACTGCAGAACATCTGAAAGGTGTCAGCTCCAGCTTCTGACCTCCACAGCCATGGGCTCCACCGAGGGCTAGAGCCTGGGGTAGAATTCCATGGCTTTCCTGAGGAATGGTGGGGAAGCCTGTGGGACAGGGTAGAGACCAGAATTACTGGCCATGCCAGGGCTGTGGAGGCTTCTGTCTCCTAAGGTGCCTGGCACCTGGCCACCTGAGGTCACCCACCCTTCTACTGCCTTGTTTAACCCCTTTTCCTGCCTTCCTCATTTCACCTGGTCTCCAGAACTTGTGGGGAGAGCCAAGGGAGCTCTTCTCCTTCATGGGGATCCCAGGCAAGGCCGCCTCTGCTTTGTGTCTAGGATGAGCAAGAAGAAGAGGAGGCTTTCAACCAGAAACATGCATTGCAGAAGGCCAAGGAGGTCAGCCCGATGTCTGCACCCAACATGCCTTCTATCGAGTGAGTTGGCTGTCCCCACTTCACTGACCCCTGGGCTCCTGTGCTAACAGCCAATTCATCAACTCAAAATGATATATTATCGGAGAATGCCTACTCCATGCTGGGAAATGTCCTAAGAATACAGCAGTGAGCAAGACAGAGTCTCTGTTCTCCTGGAGCTTTTATTTCAGTGAGAGAGATGGATAATTAACACACATAAATAATTTTAGGTGGTGATAACTGCTCTAAGGTAAATAGAACAGGGTAATAATGCAGAAGAATAAGAATTGGGTGGAGTACTTACAGGCAGCCTGGGAGGGATTCTTTGAAGAGGTGAAATTCAAGCAGAGATCTATATGTGGAGAAGGCGGTCATGTAAAATTACAAAGGAGGAGCATTCTCCGGCGAGGTGCAGTGTGGCTGGTGGGCAGGGAGCAAGGAGGAATAGAAGGAGACATGGCCAGGGAGATCCTGGAGGCCCAGGTGAAGCATTTTCACTTTTATTCTAATTGCAACCATGGAGGCTCTAAGGCAGAAGGATGGATACTACATGATCTACACTTTTTAAAAAATACATGTTATTTATTTGAGAGAAAGAGAACAGGGGGAGGGGCAGAGGGAGAGGGAGAAGCAGGCTTCCCGCTGAGCAGGGAGCCCGAAGCGGGGCCTGATCCTAGGACCCCAAGATCATGACCTGAGCTGAAGGCCTACACTTAACTGGTGCCCCCCCCACGATAAATATTTTAAAAGTTCGCTCTGCTCTATGAAAAATGGATTGTAGGGGCCAAGGGTGGAGGCAGGGAGACAGGGTTGACTATAAGAGTAAAGAAGGTGACAGGTAATGGTCGTTGAGACCATGGTAGCAATGGAGGAAATGAGAAGTAATCCCATTCAGTCTGTGCTTTGGAGGGAGAACCAATAGGAGGAGGTGATGGATTAAATGTGATGGAGGTGGGGATAAGAAAAAAAAAGAAATATTTCTCCCATGTTTTAAGGTTTGATGCCTAAGCAACTAGGTAGATGGTGGTGGTACTTACTGATAGTCTGGAGAACAGTGGAAATCCAAGGTTCATTTTGGCCACATTAAATTTGAGATACTTAGAGGACATCCAAGTGAAGATGTTGAATAGGCCATTGGTTACATGAGTCTGAAGCTTGGAAAAGAAGTCCAGGTTAGAAATAAAGATTTGGGGGGAGCCATTTGTATTTGGACAGCATTAAACTATCAGCACGCGTGAACTGGCACAGAGTTGGTGAGACAGAGTTGCTCAGGATGGAGGCCAGAGCACTCCTGTGCCTCGACGTCTGGCGGAGGAGAAACCCACAGAGGAGCTAGATGGGAAGCAATGAGTAGGAAGAAAGAACAGGGAAGTGTCCTATCCTGGAGACCTAGAGAAGAAAACTCTTCAGGAAGGAGTGAGTGGACAGTGCAGCTAAATACTATTGAAAGATCACATAAGCTGAGGACAGAAAAGGGACCATTGGGTTTGGCAAAACAAACATTGTTAGTGACATTCAGTTTCAGCGGCTCGGTGGGAACAGAATCCAATTGGAGTGGTTTAGGGAGAGAATGGCAGGTGAGAGAGTGGAGCAGCGAGTGTAGACTTTAAGGATCTAGTCTGGACCTGTGGTTGCTGGTAGAACTAGCAAGGCGTGGGCCCCGGGTGGAGCTGGAAGAAAGTGTTGGAGGAGGAGCTGAGAATCCCTTTTGTGGCTTCTGAGCCTCACTGAGGTCTGCATGGGTGGCCCTGGGGATCGATGGGGAGGCTTTGAGACCCCCGGGAGGTGCGACTCTATCCAGACACCAGACCCTGTCATCCACCACTTGAAGCTGGTAAGAAGGAGCCTTTCTTTGCCAAGTGCTCATGGGAAGGGCTCTGAGTGTCCTCTGTCTTGCCCTTTAGAGTCATTCCAGAGTTCTGTGTGGGGCCCTTCTTCCCCTGGACGGTCATCATCTTGCCCTCACCTTTCAAAACTGAAGGCCTGGCCTCTGAGTCCCTTCTCTGTGAGTGAGAAAAAAAACAGCCTTCAAACTTTGTTAAAGATTGATGGAGAAAGGTAGAGCAACTCCTTTCTCTCTGGAATACTCTCTGGGCCTTCAGTCGTTCCTTCCCCACCTTCCCTGCACTCATGCGTTTGGGTTAAAAATACACACACGCAGGTATGCAAACATGCTGATGGGGAGGGCTGGCTGTCACTTAGGAGTGGGTGGTTCTATTTACTGAGATGAGGAAGCCTGGGGAAGAGTGGGTTTGGAGACGTGAGTTGGGAAGATGCTTGGCCCAGAGTAGAAACTCCCTATTTGTGGAATGGAAGAATGAATGAAATGCGGGTAGGCATAGGGCTGTAGGCAGTGAGCTGTAATGCGTGTCTGGGCACGGTGAGGTGGAAGAAGGTGCTACAACCATCCAAGATGAGCAGAGATCCAGCTCTGGTTGCTGGGTGGGTACTGCTGATGGGAGCGATGTTGGGGTGGGGTGTGTGTTTCTCTGGAGTGCAGGCAAGACCACTGAATCCTGGGCTACCGGACAGGTGAGGAGGTGGCTGTCCCTAGAGAAACCTGAAAAGAGCATTGTTACAAATCAGAAGGTCTGAGGGCTGGTTCTGTCACTCCCATGCTCAGTGTCCTTGGAGAAAGAACCAGTTAGGATCCTAGAACCTCTGTTGCCCCATCTTTGAAATGGGAAGAATGCTGCTGCCCTTCCTGATCCACAGGGTTAATGTCAGGTGTATGTGAGGTCACATATGCATGAGTTGGAGAGATATCGATGCCTCTCTGTGTGATTTTAGGAAAGATGGTGTATTGCTGATGGGCTGTGAATTTGGATATGTGTATGTGTGAGTGGAGAAGTGGAGTTTGAAGCGTGTATCTGATTTGTATGGGAATTAAAAGTTGGGTCTGTCTTTGCCTGGCGTGTGTGTGTGTGTGTGTGTGTGTGTGCATGTGCGCTCACGTTCATGAGAAAGAGAATTCTTCCATGTACTTAAACTCTTACACATGTGCTTCTGGAGAGCTGATATTTGAATATTTGAGAATTTGCAAGTAGATGATAGCGTCTGCTTTCTCTAGTGGGTGTGCTTGCTGCCTGGCTAGAGTGTGTCCTTCTATTTCTATGTGTTACCCATGCTGCTTGGCAGCGGCACCCCATGTGGGCCTCATTGCATTGCAGCTGCCCCTGCTGAGGGGTGCACACAGTTGGGGAGCTCACAGGCATCTCTGCAGTGATGTCTGCCCCCACTCCGTAGATGCTTGTACACACTGTGCCTCTTCCAGATGCCAAGTGAGGCTCCCACCAGCTGCCGCTCCTCCCCCAGCCCACCCATGTATCAGGCTTCTCTGCGGATGTGGGACATGGCAGTTGAGCAGTGCTACGAGGCCTAGCATGTTCTCCGTTGGTCAGGGAGGGAACAACGGTCACTAAGCATCCCCCAGGTCTAGGCAGGGCCCAGTGGGCCACACTGCATCTGTCAGCCCAGGACTGGGGGCAAGCTCGCTCCACAGGTGTCCCACGTGTGGTGTCCTTGACCTGAGCGTTGACCTTGCCCTGAGAGCTTCATTTTTAGGAGTCCCATTTGCCTTTGTGGGTGATGCCCACACCCTACCAGTCTGACCTTGTCTGGACCTTGTAAGCGAAGGGGCACAGCATGTGTGTGTCTGGAGAAAGATTTTTTCCCCCCCTGCGCATGGCTGAGAAGGCTGGGGCTGTGCTTTACCTGGCTGAACAGATGGAGCCTGGAAGGCCTCTGGCCAGGGTCACTGGGTCGCAGAGCCGCAGGGGCGCCGCACATGTCCTGAAGTACATGGACAGCAGCCTATGGCGGGGTGGCCCTGCCCCTGGCCATGGGCTGCTCTGTGGCTCTGATGGTGTGCATGGCGGGGCAGTTTTCCCGCATGTGTTATGTGACTGGAGTGATGAGCTTGGGGGCGGGGTGGTCACACCCATGTGAATGTCCTAGACGTGACTGGGGGGAATACAACTCTCATCCGAGTTTGTAGGGTTTCCAGGATAGATCCCCGAAGGGCACTTAGGGGCAAGCGTGAGTGCCGGGGGTGGGGGGCATGATGACTGAGCGCCCGAAGCTGTGTCCTCTATGAAATGAGACCTCCTTTGCGCCTGCATGTGTGCTTCCAGCACCGAATCCGTGTGTCTGCACAGAATCCAAGGTCACTCCCTGGGCGAGGTGAAGGTGGGGAGCCTCCAGAGGGCAGCGGGCATGTGGAGAGCGTGTGGGCACCTAGAGGACTCTGCGCCTCTCCCTGGACACTGGCTGGTGGCTGTGGGGCTTGTGGTTCCGAGAGGCCGGGGTGAACTGAACCTGTTCGTTTTTCTTTCCCAGAAGAGACAGAAGGAGAAGACACCACATGTCGATGTGGGAGCCACGCAGCGGCCACCTGTATGTGTGTACCGGTCTGCGTGTTTGTGAGCGGTCATGTGTGTGCGTGGGGACACCGTGTCTTCGTCCTCACCGCGGACACAGTGGCGCCGGGTGTGCATGTCAGTGTGTGCCGTGGTGTGCGCGTGTGTCCCGTGGACGCTATCCTCTGCACCTCTCCACTTGTGCTCAGTTCAGTGTGTGTCTACGGTACGTGACCCCGTGTGTCGTGCACGCCTCTGTGCGGCCCGCGAGTGGGCACGCGTTGGTGTGGGCACGTCGTGTCGGCGCGTGGGCCTCGCCCGTGGGCTGGCGCACGGGCCTCTGTGAGGGTGCGTGTGGGCACATGTGCGTGAAAGCAGGGACTGCCCTCCCGCCCACGGGAGCGCGCTCCTGGGCGCGTCACGTTGCGTGGGCCTGCTGCCACGTGAGGGCTCATCTCAGCCCCTGGGCTGAAGCGTTCGGCAGCGGTTTTGAGAAGCAGGGGCCGGCGCTCTCGGCACACACAGTGCCGTGGTCTGCGTCAGCTGTCGTGGAAGAGAGCCACGGCACTCTCGTTTTTGGAGGGCGATGCCAACACGGGTCTGCTAGTCACCGTCGCCAGGCTTCCTCTCGTCGGACCCGGCCGCTGTACTTCTCAGCCTGTGCCTCCCACCATCTGAGGGGCAGGGGGAGCTGGGGGAGCGGGGGGAGCAAAGGTCTCTGACCTGGAATTAAGGGCCAGTGCTGAGCTCAGGGTGGGTGTAGGTGGATGTCCTGAGAGTGAAGGAGAACAGGGGAGTGCAGACCGGGTGAGCCTTGGTACCGCAGTCCTGCAGGCCCTGGGGGCTCCATCCCGGGCTCATGCCCACCCCCCGCACCCCCGCCCCCCCGACGACTGCAGAGGAGGGACGAGAGTGGGAAGCCCTACATGCTCGGAGGCGCTGGTCCCACCACCTACTCGTGTGTGGCCCACTCCGCTCCTTGCATCTTTCTGTGCTTCCTGTCTGCAGGTCCTGGGCTCTCCCGTTTGCTGCCCGCCCCCCATGTGTCCCGCCCCTTTCCCACGGCCGCTGAGGGCTGGTCTGCACCCCAGTGGCTCCCTCCCTGGCCTTCGGCTGTCAGGCTCTGACCGTGGTCCTCGCCCTTTCCCCTTTGGCAGGAGGGAGCGGAGGCGCCGGCACCACATGTCGGTGTGGGAGCAGCGCACCAGCCAGCTGAGAAGGCACATGCAGATGTCCAGCCAGGAGGCCCTCAATAAAGAGGAGGCCCCACCAATGAACCCCCTCAACCCCCTCAACCCGCTGAGTCCCCTCAACCCACTCAATGCCCACCCCAGCCTCTACCGGAGACCCAGGCCCATCGAGGGCCTGGGCCTGGGCCTGGAGAAGTGTGAGGAGGAGCGCATCAGCCGTGGGGGGTCCCTCAAGGGGGATGGAGGGGACCTGTCGAGCGCCCTGGACAACCAGAGGAGCCCCTTGTCCCTGGGCAAACGGGAGCCACCGTGGCTGGCCAGGCCCTGTCATGGCAACTGTGATCCGACCCAGCCAGAGGCTGGGGGAGGGGAGACCGTGGTGGCCTTTGAGGACCGTGCCAGACACAGGCAGAGCCAGCGGCGCAGCCGGCACCGTCGCGTCAGGACAGAAGGCAGGGAGCTCTCTTCCACCTCCCGGAGCAGGTCTGCCAGCCAGGAGCGGAGTCTGGATGAGGCGGCGCCCCCCGAGGGGGAGAAAGACAGCGAGCCCAGGGGCAGCCACGCGGGCCAGGCACCCACAATCCAGGAAGAAGAGCGAGGCCAAGACTTAAGGAGGTAAGTTAGTCACAGGCATGCCCCAGAGGCGTCTAGCCCTGCGGGGGTGAAGGACTCTTCAATACGATCCTGTCTGACCCTCCGTTTTCCCTTTTACAAAATGGAGAAGATGCTAACGCACCCTTCATAAGATATGCGTGACTATGATAGGTGATGGACGCTGTCCCCTTGAAAACCCGGGTCTGTTCTTCTAGGGCATCTCCTGTTGGGAGCGGGTCCTGGGCCGACTGATGGGAACAAGGCCTGGACACTGCCTGGGTGGGTCGGGGTGGGAGGCAGCGGTTGGCATGTTCTCCAGCAAGGCTCCTCGGGCTTCCCTCACCTTTCCCTCTTGCCTGGCTCACCCGCCACTTGAGAACAGCTTCTTCTGATCTGAGCACCAGCCATCTCCTCCTTTGTCCCTCCAGGACCAACAGTCTGATGGTGCCCAGAGGCTCCGGGCTGGCAGGAGCCCTCGACGAGGACAACACGCCCCTGGTCCTGCCCCAGCCGGAGCTGGAAGTGGGGAAGGACACGGCGCTGACCGAGCAGGAGGCCGAGGGCAGCAGTGAGCGGGCCCTGCTGGGCGACGTGCAGTTGGACATGGGCAGGGCCATCAGCCAGAGTGAGCCTGACCTCTCCTGCGCCACCAACACAGACAAGGCCACCACCGACAGCACCAGCGTCACTGTTGCCATCCCCGACTTGGGCCCCTTGGTGGACTCAGCTGTGGTTCACAGTGAGAACGCAGTCCCTGCCCCCTTCACCCTTACCGCCCATCCCACCCAGGGCTGGGGACCACTGTGGCTCTGAAGTCACCCAGTAAAGCTACATGAAAAACCCCACCAGCAGGACGAAGTCATTCTTCAGCAAGTAGATGATAGCAGTAGTTTTATCTCGGTTTGCAGGAAAAATGTTCTCTGTCTTAAGTTTTGCCCATAAAATTTCCTTCAGCCTTGGCCCCTGTGACCACCATAGAGACTTCAAGGAGAACACACGTGGTTTGGTAGCCAGATATATATTCAGCTATTTGACTTACCGTGTGAATATTTGGTGGTGTTCTCCAGGACCTCCAAGGTGCCCTGTCACTTGGACAGGTTAGGGAACCTCTGATGGAGCAGGAGATGGCCCAGATCTGTTCAGTGTGGCTTGCACAAACCCTCGGTTTCTCCCCAGGCTTCAGGTTGTCAACCCTACAGTGAAAGCATTGAATTGGGTGATCTCTGAGGTCTTTCTCAGCACTAACATTTTATGAATCTGTTACTCTTATCTACTCTTTCCTCCGAGGAGATTTTCCTCAGTTTTTATCCTAGATCCCTCAGGCAATGGATGTTAATCTCCAGACCTCAAAAGGAAGAGACAAAAATTACTGGACCTACCCCTGCATCCCCACCCTTAACCCCACCCGGCCTCACTCCTATCCTTGTTCCAACCCCGTCCTTTTTCCTCCCCTAACCCCATCCCTCTCCCAGCCCTAACCCTAAACTCCACCCCTGTCTCTGCCCTAACCCCATCCCCGCCCTAAGCCCACCCCATCCCTGTACTTAACCCCGCCCCCATCCCTACTTCCCCCCCCAACCCCATCCCCTCCCTAACCCTCACCACACCCCCATTCCTGCATTAATCCCACCTGCTGCCCATGGCCACTGAATTGCGACCACAGACTCCACCCTTGCTTTTTCTGCCTCTCTTTTTCCTTATTTTTCTCTTTGCATAGAACAGTCTTCTCCTTTCCCTGTTTTTCTTTATTCCACTGCTCCATCTCCATTCCATCACCTTCTCAGCACTCAAAATGCCAGTACTACTTTAGAAAATGAAATCCCCCATGTCTAGTGCTCCTGGGGTTGACTTGGGCATGTCTCAGGATTTCAGACAACCTCTTTTGGTGTCTGTTTCATTTTATGCTCTAATAAGTGCTTTGGACCCTCTCTGATGAGAAATGTTAAGAAGTTTGACCTTCCTCTGTTCCTGTTGTGGGGCTGGTCAGTGGCCTTGGTCATAGTAAGAGCATATTATCAGAGGGCTTTTGGATGAGTTACCTCTTGGAAGGACCCAGAAGGGGCCAGAAGCTCAAAGGTTTGCTGCTTGCACAAGGCTCCAGGGTAGAGTCATTAGCTGAGAGAGAACAGTGGGAGAGGCTGACTGCATCCCTTGCCCCGCTCAGAGCTTCCGCCTCTCTGCCACTTACCCCACCCTGTGACTTGCGTGTGGAAACCGAGGGTGGCCCAAGAGCTCCACTCAGTCTCTGGCTCCTTCGTCCTCCCCGTCCTGGAATGCAGTCATGGTCCCATAGAGGTATGAATATTGCATTGCCATTTCAACATTAATCATGACCGGAACAAGCAGAGCCAGCAAGTCAGCCGCAAACAGAGTAACAGCTTCTTAAAATCTTCCATTGCAGTGGGAGATTATCGCAAGGCTACAGGATTTGGAATTGGGAACTAGCTGTATGAACCTAGGATAGGTACTTGAATTCCCTGAACCTTAGTTTTCCCGTCTGTATAATGGGCAGAGTACATGCCGCTCAGGGTGTAGTGATGTGAAAATTCAAGAAGTGAACATAGGCAAAGAATCTAGATTTTAGATATGTCAGCTTTGTAAACTTCACAGCAGAAACAAGCCTTCTGTGACCCTGGGAAACGTGATTATTATTTATATGGCAAAAAAAGTCATACCATGTAAAATTAGGGTGACGGCCAGGCGAGAATGAGAGCAAGGGCTTGACTCAGCATAATAGTGAACACCCCCAGTGTTTGCAGCGTACCTGGCTAGACACATTCCTCTAACCCCTTCCCCTCCTCTTGATCCTACCCCCATGGGAAACAAAGGGCACCGTTCTCACAGGCAGCAAGGTTTCTGATGATTTCAACATGTTTCTTTGGCAGTTAGCAACAAGACTGATGGAGAAGCCAGTCCCCTGAAGGAGGCAGAGATCAAAGAGGAGGAGGAGGAGGTGGAGAAGAAGCAGAAGAAGGAGAAGCGTGAGACGGGCAAAGCCATGGTGCCCCACAGCTCCATGTTCATCTTCAGCACCACCAACCCGTAAGGCACCTTCCCATCGCTCCCCGTTCAGGGCCAGGGTTAGAGCCAGGGCAGGGTGATGAGGAGAAGGAGAGATGAGGGCCCCCTTAGTGGACTGTGGCCAGACATCTGAAACATGCGGGGTGCTCACTGGTGGAAGTGGGTCATGGGATTGAAAAGCCTCTGAGCTCTGTGCTGAGTCTACAAGGTAATTTAAGACAGGGAAGCATGAGAGATGTCATGAGGAAAGGACCCTATAACTCTTATTCCTCTTATTTGGTCAGTAGGTTGTGTAGGGGTGGGGTGGGAGGAAGGAAATCTACTTGGGATGTGTCATCAAATACTCCAGTGGTGGACAGAACTGAGAATATGGAACCTAGAATAGAAAGATCATCCACTGGAGTTTAAGAGTATTGGTCCCACTGTCCCATACGTGAATTTTGAAATGGGCATGTTCCTCAAAGCAGAGGTAGGGGCATGAGATGAAGGTGGCAGAGAAGATTCTGGAAGGTTAGACTGAGCTGCCTTTTGCCCTGGAAATGAGCAAGATGTACACATAGACCTAATTCTGAGGCTAGCAAGACAAAAAGGTTTTCAGTGACCACATGGGCAGTATTTCAGGCAAGGCTCTGGGAAGGAAGGAACTTGGGCTAAGGTATGTCAGGTCACCCAAGTCCAGAACACAGTCTGTAGAACATAATTACTCTAATCAGAATACGTGGGGCTCATGAAAACCTGTTGCTGCTCTCGCTAAGAATCTTAGAATCAAGGTCTACTGTTACGTTTCTTGGTTCTTCTGATTTCCTTGCTATGTCCCAGTTTCTGTATGGTGGGGGAGTAGACATTGAGATATGGTGGAGGGTACCATGTGGCCATGCGGAGTGCATGTCATCTGATGCTGGCTGCTCCCTTGGCTCAGACTTGCCTACAGATAATGTATCTTGGCTTGCACACTGCAGCCTCTAACCAATCTGATTACCTTCTCCCACTGGAGCTTTAAATCACGGGTGGTGCCTGCGAAATTAAATTGATCTCCCCACGGCTTCCTCTGGCCAGGGCCTGGCTGTCTGGATGAGGCTGATGTGCACGAGGGTGGGGAGTAAGGAATGGGGAGGGGAGGGAAGCCGACACAGCTCTGTTGGCTCCTCCGCCCCACAGGATCCGCAGGGCCTGCCACTACATCGTGAGCCTGCGCTACTTTGAGATGTGCATTCTCCTGGTGATCGCGGCCAGCAGCATCGCCCTGGCAGCCGAGGACCCTGTCCTGACCAACTCGGAGCGCAACAAAGTGGGTGCATGGGAGCCCTTTGCCCTGGGACCCGCCCCGTCCCAGCCCCTCCCCATCCCAGTATTAAAGGTGAACTGAGGAAGGTTCCTGGGGAAATGAGGAAGGCTTAAGAAATGGCCCATTCCTCTTCCTCAGGGCAGAGTATGGACCATTTCCAGATCAGCCCCTTCTCCCCAGTCCCCACCGCGTGCCCTGAGGCTTCAGCAGTGGGCCTTACATCCAGAGCCAGCCAGTCTTTGCAGCCGCCCAAGGGCTTCTATAGTGTGTGTGTTGGGGGGGCGTCTGATGTCAGGTCATGAGGGATGTGCATAAATTTGGGGAGCTGAGGTTCTACCCCAGGGAGCTGAGACATCTCCTGGAGGTCCCAAGGGTGTATGTCGGGAGGTATGACGGGGGTTGGGTGGGGAGGATTGCAACCGACAAGGATTCCAGGTCCTGAGGGAGAGACTTGTGGGGCAGTTGGGACCCAAGAAGTTAAGTTCTGGCCAAGGGGAGGGAGGAGCCAAGGACTGACCCCTGGGTCCTGCGGCTCTAGCAGAATGCATGGCTCCTCTAGTCCCTGTGTCCAGCTGGCACTTAGAAGCCCACGCTTCTGTTCTGAGGGAGAAGTGAGCTGGGGTGCGGGTGCAGCACTGCATGTGTGTGGGTAGGCGGGAGTGTATATGGCCTGGTGGCCACACGTGGTCCTCTTGCCCTTCACCGTACGTGTCTTACAGGTCCTGAGGTATTTTGACTATGTTTTCACTGGCGTGTTCACCTTTGAGATGGTCATAAAGGTAAAAGCCTCCAGAGAAAAGCTGGGCTCCAGGGTTTGGATGGGTCATGGGTCTGCTCTTCCCCAGTGCTGCCACCTACCAGCCAATGACAGACCTCAGTCCTCTGGCGACCCCTCTTCTGGCCTCAGAAGTCTGACGAAGTCTGTCGTGACCAAACTTCACGGCACAGCATGGCTGTGTGGATCTGTTTAGGCTGGGGCAGGCCTGTGGGAGTGGCCCAGGAGGGAGCCAGTCCACTCTCAGGCAGGCAGGAGTGCAGACAGGCCTGGGCACTGTACTTGCCTCCCCAGTGTGCCCCCTGGTTTGAGCCAACGTAAAGGGCCAAGGAGGGATGAGTCCTCCTGGACTCTACATGTAATGCCAGCCACACTCACTGCTTACCGGTCTGGTCCCCACCACCCTGACACCCCCCATTTCTATCTTGTTCATAGTCTCTCCCATGTGGGGTTTTCCCCATCTGTGTGTATGTGGTGACGCCTGGTGTTCTGAGCCACTCAAGGAAGGAGGAATGTGAGAGCCAAGGAGTGTAGCTGGGCCCTGGCGGCTAGGATACGGGGCCTCGAGCTTCACAGTTAGGTGGAGAGAGCCTGTGGGACCTGTCCCCTGCTCCTCAGGTCCTTGTGCAGGGCTGATTGTGGAAACAGTGGTAGTAGGGGCGTTGCCCTGGGGGAGCCCTGAGCTCCGGGTGCATTGCCGGCTCCTGTGGGCTCATCCACGGCTGTTCACATCCTTCTCCTTCAGATGATAGACCAGGGCTTGATCCTGCAGGACGGGTCCTACTTCCGAGACCTGTGGAACATCCTGGACTTCGTGGTGGTGGTTGGCGCGTTGGTGGCCTTCGCTTTGGCGTAAGTGTAACTCTGTCTTGCTCAGTTTCCTTTTGTCCCTTCTTCCTGAGACTCGGACTGATTTGAGGCCTTCTCCTAGGCCAGCGTGAGAGGCAGTCCACTCAGAGTGGTGCCAAAGCAAGCCGCCCTGGAAATCTGGTCCCCACTTGCCCTCTGTGGAACTCCGGCGAGCCTTATAGCTTCAGCTCCCTGCCCCAAATGGCTGCACTGATGAAGGAAGAGCCGGGGGAGTCCCGAGGAAGAAGTCAGGGGCCCTGGAGTTCCTTTCTTGGAGATGAGCAAGCATGGGCAGGTGCTCACCCATGTGGGCAGTTCCTCCATGGGCTCAGGGAGGGACCCAGGGACAGCTCATGTACCCTTTCCTTTCTTGGATATGTCAAACAAAGAGTCAGCTTGGAAGAAGAATGCAAAGTTGGGGACCGCAGACTCTTGAGTATGAGATTCTCTGCTCATGAGCAGGGGGACCCCAGAGCTACTTCATAGACATAAGAACCATGTTAATATGTTTAGCTCCAGAACGTAAGAATCTCACAACTTCCTTGATAATGCACTGAGGAGAACATTCAGGTGACTAAACCATGCTCATTACATTTGGGGAATTTTTTTTTCCAAACATTGATTCAGCTGTAGCAGGTTTTCAACTACATGCTGACGTTTCCTGTGGCATCCAGCCAAGGAAGGGGCTCTCTTGGCCCTCTAGGGTCTAGCTAGGAAACACACATGATCAGGGCCTTTTCCCTAAGCTGGTGTGTAGAGTGCCCAGGAGATGAATGACAGCCTCTGGGCCCCATCGGCACCTTGTTGTACTGCCAGAGAGCTCCCGCCTTTTCCAGGTGGCCCAGCAGACTTCCCTCCAGCCTCTCCAAGTGCAAGACAGAGCTGAGTCTTTTTTTTTTTTGATATACTAGAGCTGAGTCTTTAAGCAAGTCTGGCTACACTGTGATGAGGCAGAAGGAAAGCATTTGGGAGTTGCTGTCAGTGATACCACTGCAAAAGGGAAGGGGCAGAGCACCTGCAGAGGTTGGGCCTTCCCAGGTCCAGGTGGTCAGAAGGGGCTAATCCATTTCCCTTCTTCTCCCCAAACACTATCAGCTTCCATTTCTGTCCATCCTGGAGGAGAAAGAGGTGGGGTGACAGTTGAGAAGGAACATTCCCCAAGTGGCTAAGGGTGGGGAGCTCTCTGTAGGAGAGATGAAAGGTCCCCAGCTGTCCTAAGAACTTAAGATCTTCCAGAACCTAGAAGTGGGCTATTTGCATTGCTGTCCCAGCCACGGGGGACCCTTCAAAGGAGAGCCGGTTGAATGTCGCTGGTAGCCCTGAGCTGGGCTGGCAGGACAATTTCAGTGTCCCCCATGTACACCAGTGTATTAACTGCCCCCCCCCGCCCACCGTTAGAGTCACATGGAATCACCTGTGTCTCTCACAACCAGAAAGCCTCCTATTAGATGTGACTGAGCTATTTCTAAGGAAATTGCCCAAAAGCGGGGTATTTTCCCCCATCATCTGGACCTTGTATAAATTCTCACCCCAAGGTAAAAATCAAGGCAACTCTGGCTCTACCAAGGGGACTCCCAGCTCCTCTTCCTCCTTCTTAGAAAAAAATCATTAAAATCTGTCTTTTTCCTAAAGAGGCCCACTTACTTTGTTAGGGATAAATAGCACCCTTGAGTTTTTAAAAGGTCAAGTTCCCTTCTCATCAATTCATTTGCATATATTATTCACCATATTGTTCTTCTTTCTTATTTTGATCTCAGTAGTTTGTCTCTCTTTGAAGAAACAAAACACAAGGAGGGAGAAGTAATGGGAAAGAATCCTCCCCATCTTTTAGGAAGAACAGAGCTCCTTGGGGTGACAGGGCAGAGTGGGAGGAAGGTGTGGGCTATGGACTCAGGCAGGCCCTGCTTTGAATCCCAGCCCCTCTACTTACCTGCATCATGTCCTAGAGCAACAGAACAAGATAGTAACCCTCCTAACCTCAGTTTCTCATCCCTGAAATGCAGTCAAAATAATGCGTGTGGCGTGCTTAGCACATAGGGCGTGGCACAATGTGAATGATCATAAATTTTTTTAATTTAAATTCCATTTGCCAACAAATAGTAAATCATTGGTTCTGATATAATGTTCAATAATTCATTAGGTGTTAGTTCCCCTCCTTATCCTTCCATTCTCTCATCACACCCTGAAGTCCAGACACTGGAGCCAAGTATGTGTTGATATATACTGTGTGCCAATGGTTGAAGATGAACACAGGCTGGTTTCCACGACTTGGTTGTCTTAGACACAAACACACACACACACACGCACACACGCACACAGACACACACCCTGGTAACCAGGCAGGTGTGCAGGTGCCTGTGGGGAGGAGGTGTGTTTTAGAGGAAGCCTCTGCATGCCTGCCCCATGTCCACAGTCCCGTTGTCTCTCCTCAGATCCAGAGTGATGACAATGGGCTGGAGGGTCGTCATCTATCTTGTTCTTTTTTTGTGCTCTTTGAAAATATGGCAGTGGTGGCTTTGGTGCTGGTGGCAGGGGAAGCGTTAACAGCCCCGGAACCGAAGCCTCTCAGTGGGTCCTCAGACCAGGTACAGTGCAGGGAACCCCAAGAATCCCCTGGTTCTGGGGTCCACACTTATGTGATGGATTGAGAGTTATGATCCATCACTTGCTTTTAGTGATATCACTCCCTGAACTTTTTCTTAATTTCCCTGGAAATGTAAATGGTACTTGCTCATCCTTCTCCATCCACTCTCTTCTGTTACCATCCTTTCAAGCTGGCCATGCACATTTCCTCTCCCCTTCCTCCTGCTCGTGGGACAGGCTCACACCCCTCTCCTCTGGCCTTCGTCACATTGTTGAGGTCCAGGTAACGCTTTCTCTTGCTCATGCGCCACGCTTCCTAACTCTTTTGTCTCCCCTTCCTCATTGAAGGCACCAGAGAATTCAGCTCTCCCATCACTTTGGTAGGGTTGGCCGGGGTCCCACCTGCCAGCAGAGTGAGGGCCTGGCCCGGGGCACACCGCAGAAGGAAGCCCGTGTCGCCCTGCCAGGCCATGCTAGGAGGCTCAAGCCAAGAGGAGGCCAAATGTGGGGTTTTCTGCAGGCTTTTCAAGGGCCTCCCTCCTTGAAGTTACAGCTTTCATCATTGTAACCCATATATTTGCCCCTGGGGAATGTCTACCACTCAGATGACCTTACCCCTGCCCCGTCTCGCTCTCCTCCTCCTGAGGAGAGGCTCCTGCGGAGGCTTCTGCTCAGGCTGTTACTCAGTCTCAGCAAAGCTGATGACGATTGCCGTGGTAACACCTTCACGTGATGCCTCCGAAGTCCGAGGCGACTTGGCATCCCTTTCACCGTGACCAGCCAGGATCTTATCAGAACCCAACCCAAGTCCCAAGAGCACTACCCCTAACCAAGGGGAGGGAAGGGCCGGTAGCTGAATTCTCAGAGAAAGCTGTGGGGTCCCCTGAGCCCTTCTGCAGAGGTCTGCACCTGCCGTCATGTATGTTTTCTATAAGCATATGTGTCGTTTACGTAGTGGCTGAAGAGAACTCTCTCTTCTCCATAGCTGCGTACCTCAAGTGAAGGGATTCTTTATAATGTAAACCTGACAAATTCTGTTTGGGAACTTTTATTACTGACTTTTGAGGAAGCGGGGAAGGGGATTTCTTTTCTAAGCGGGGGGCATACCGGGAGATGAGAAAACCAACGGAAAGATACCTCAATCGCACCTTCCCTGTTCCTCCCGGCACACTTTTACATTATAAAGCATTTATAAGAACACTCAGGTCTCCTGTCTCAGCCAGACACCCGTGTAGGGAGATGGGCAGAGTTTTGGCAGAGGCTGGGTATGTTTCTCCCTCATTCTGCTGCCCTCACAACACCCCACTTTCTGGGCCATATGGAGACACGGAGTGTTTGCCAACTATAAATGTCCCGACTGTGCCTTTTCCTCCTTGAGGTTTCAAGAAAAGTCTGGTGAGTGACTGGATCTATGAAACCTTTCTCTTTTATCTTTTTCTATCTGAAAAAGAGGATTCTTCGGTTTGATCATTATTTTACACTCACGGGCCAGCAACTGCTTTTCCCAGTTTCCTCACACCCTGTTGCCATCATGTCTGCCTCCCAGCCTCCTGGGTGGGACAACAGAGATGGCTCCAGCCTTGGCATTTCTGGGTATCTGCACATCAGGCACATTCCCTCACTTTGGGGCCTCCTGCTGGAGTCATCTGCCTTGTAGGGAAGTCATGTGACCCCTATGGCAGGTTGAGTTCATGAGCCTTATGGGATCATGCGCAGTGATGGTGATGCCATCTGGCCCTCAGGTTTCGCGTCTGAAATGTCTCGTGAAGGGATTTGGACAGGCAGCTGGGCAGGGACAGCATCTCAGGAGGAAAGGTAGGCGAGCACGGGGACGTATGTGTGTGTGAGATCCTGCACTCCAACCCAAGCCCCTCATCCTCTTCATTCCCATTGGTCTACAACGTGTTACTTGACTAGCTCACGTCAAGTCACCAGGTGAGCCATCCTGGATTGGCTTCTAACTAGTAAACTCACAGCTTATAATGACTTGTCCACACAAACAATTTCAAAGAAAAATAACCAGCAGTTCTTCTCCTACCTCCTCCCCCAACTGGGGCCTGTGCCTCAGTCAGAGTCACGCAGGCTCTCTGGCAGCTAAGGCCAAAGCTTTCCCTTGCTGTTTGCCATCTTAGTGGAGCATGAGGTAAGGTCAGGACTCCCTGGCATGCGGGGGATCTGGATCACAGCCGCACTTGGCCTTTAATTATTCAGTGCTTAGCCAGAAAGGAAAAACATGAGTCAATCTGCCTCTTGATGCCAGAAGGAACCAGAATTCCCACATTAGCTTTTATTACCTTCTTCTTATCGAAGTGTGTTGCTTTTCTGACACTTGACACTCCACCCTGGTCTTTAAGATGGATAAGGTCTTTCGGAATGCATTTCAGAACCAGCCACAGTGGCCGAGCTGGTTCTGAATTCAT